TCTTCACATACACACATAAAAAAGCTCTAGCCTGGAAGGAGAAGAATATAATGCGATCAAGCTCTGCTCTGTCCCCTGCAGGAGATCCTGGGCGGGCCGCATGCTGCCGAGCAGAGATACGATGCAGAGTTCTTCAGAAAGTTCCGGAATCAGAATATCGTGCTGTCAGCAAGAACGTACGCCAGGGTAAGGGCCTTTCTGTCCTGCCCCCGCTTGGCCCGGGACGGTCCCGCATCGTGCACAGGCTCCCCGCATTACCTGCGACGGACGGCGTCCTGTAGGGATGCGGTGCCCGTTGGGTCCTTTCCATCGACGAGCGCGCATGCTGGCAGCCTTGCACCGAGACGCGGCTGGAGAGGCCACCCGCTGAGGGCCTGGCATCACACCGCCCTCTCGGTTGCGACGCCCTTCGCATTTTACCCCTTCAGGAACGCGTTCGACTCCCCAGGTGGATGACGGTGTTCAGGTTTCCCTCCCTGGGCACCCTGCATGACATTAACGTTGGGTGCGGTGGATTCATTTAGCCATTTATTTCGGTCTGCTCGCTCTTTTCGCTCGCTAGGAGAGCAATGTGCAGGCCTTGGACATCCTCTTCACCTACCACGGTGCCGAGCTTCTGGAGCACCGCCTGGCCATCCTGTATAACTTCCCCGAGACCAGCTCTCCCCACGAATACGTGGTCCTCCTTCCTGAAGCTTGGTAAGGCGTCCTGTTAAAGGTCTGTGTTTGCACTGCTCATGCGTTGCCTTTCCTCTCAGCCTGCTCTGGTCTGTATCCCCTGTTGGTCTGACGTCTTGTCACTTAAATGCCCCCCTCCCCACATTGTCAGGGTCTGTAGACACACCCAAAGGCCCAGGTGACACCTCACAAACCCCTTTGTTTTAGCAGACACTAGCTTCAAAAATAATCTAAACATGGCTCTTAGGCATTAGCATCATTTTGGTACCTTAAATTACTTTTTTTTTTTTTTTTGGTCAAACTTTTTCTAAAGCTACTGACTTCTTCCCAGTGCCTGACGGATGCACATTAAATGTGCGCCAGTTCTTATAAGTGCAAGTGGTGCATTTACTAAAATTTCATTCCAGCATCTGCATGTGGTCACAACAAATTAAAAGATGGAATTCCCATAAGGTGTGCGCTGGAGTCTCTGGGACGTGGTCTGCGCTGTAGGATTAATTATCCCTGAATTTACTCTTTGAAGCAGCTCATTAAGCAGCCTGTCTGTGTAGCTTTAGGGTTCCCTTTTCTGCAGTGAGCCGGCATTGAGTTATTTCCCCATGCTGTGCGGTTTGTACATAAGTTGTTACATAAGCCTCGTGTCTGTGACCTTCTCCACATCCCGCCCGGATGCATTCATCACTGCACCTAATATCATGGTGCTTTTCGTTCGCTAGAATGCCGCCCTTGCTGGACCAATCGCTCAGCTGACGGAGACCCAGCCTTGTGAACTGTTTTCTCACCCATAACAAAAATGTCCACCCAGCTCCTCTAGGTTCATCAGTCAAAATAGTGGCCGTGCCCATACGTTTGTTGGGCTCCCCTTCAGCCCTCTTCAAAATCTCTCTCAGCGTTTTATGCCTAAAATCAACATGTCCGTTACCGAACAACAGAATGCCTTTATTGTCGTCATACAGGGAGCAAGTAGAACGACATTTCTGTCTCTGTATATCCATATATTTTGTTCCCCCATGAGATACACATGGACAATGGGGTCCAAGCAAATTATCCAGCATCCCTGTAGCAGTTTGGGTTTAGGGCCTTGCTGAAGGGTCCAAGCCAGACATGATTACCCTGCCCAACCTGGTAGCGGGCATCTTCCGATCACTGGCGCAGTGTCCTAACGTGCAGAGCCACTCACCCCAAACATCCATCCGTTCCAAGTCCAAAGCTGGACCGATCTATTGTTTATCGAGAGTTCTGTAATTCACTACCCCTCCCCGCCCCCCCCCACCCACTGGTCTTAGCGTCGATAACATTCACGTCGCTGCGCTGAATTGAGCTTCATTTATTTATTCTAAAGGATCCCTTAATGCACCGCCGCATCCGTTAATGGCGCCGGGCGCACAAGCGGCACCAGTGGGAGTGACTGCGGATTACGGCTCATAACCAATCGGGCTGAAGGCTGAAGCAGCGTTTGCATGCGCACGGTGTGTGAGCATTTCTAATGATCGTTCACAGCCCGTTTATTTGGAGACTGCCGCTGATATCGACATCCTTTTCCCTAGCAACCATTTAACTCTTTGAGGCAGACAAGCAGGCAAGGTGTGTGCCAGAATTAACATCATGGACACTTTGTCCAAAACTCGTCGCTCAATTATCCACATCACATTGGTCTCCATACATTGTAGAGGGTGTAATGAAGGTGTGCGTAAACCACAAAATAGTGTCACAGGTTTTAGCACTTTTGCCTTATACTTCAAGGGTTGCGGGTTCACATTCTGCCAATTCTGTGTGCGTGTGGAGTTCCCCGAGGTTTCCTCCCAGAGTCAAAACATATGCAGTCAGGTTTATTGGCACCTCTGGAGAACGTGCCCTATGATGGACTGGCATCCAGTCCAGGTCGTACCCCAGCCTGGTACCCTGTGCTGCTCAGGGAAGTATCAAGACAGGATATGTGGTCTTACTGACAGTCAAGGATTTTGCTCCCTCCGAGCTCCTATGGGCTAGGTTAGAAGATGGATGGATAGTATCCACTGTTTATTTTCCTTTCTACAAAGATTTTTTGACTGGCTTGAAAATCTTACCGCCATTTGTATGGCTTTCGCCATAGGAAGCATTAGTGAGACTTCAGCTGCTTAGGAGAGTCTGACCAAGGAGATTACAGAGGCTGTGATACATCCGCAGAGCCCCTGCTAATACGGCGTCTATGAAGGTTTCGGCTCTTAATTATACTGCCCCATGAGTATCACCTGCTTATCCACAATGCAGGGGAAGGACTCCAATTAAACCCTCAAAAAGGGAACAGACAGGTTTTCAAAGACGAAATCCGTAACAGTACGGAGAATACTCTCTACAGTGTTGTTTTTGAGGTATGGTCTTTGGTGTGTAGGTGACATTATAGATGTTTTGTTCTCTTTGGCTGACAGTCAGGAAATGAGTTTTATTTATATAGTTTATTGTGGGTTTGAAGTTAAATAATTATTGTGCCGCATGGCCATTTGTATGTGAGTTTTCCTCCATCTATAAAGCAGCATTGAACCTATTGGGTTTGGCCCCTTGCTGGGAATGGATCTGTGATGGTCGTTTGTTTATGTGGCCCGTAGGGTCAATGGCCGACTGCCACCTTGTTCTGTGTTTGGGAAATTCTCCTTCTGTTTACTGCGACTACAAAGTGCACGAGCAGAGAAAACAGTTGGGTTAAAAAATCCCAGAGGAGTTCATTTAGTCAGACTTAATTAAACTTAATTAGTGTTCAACACATCTTCATTTCAAAAGCAAAATGTGCTTTGCTTGTCATCATAGGACAGTGTTAATTTTGAAAACACATAGTGCTTCAGTTGTGCCAAGTGATGGTATTTTTCTGAAGACTAACCGGCCTCTTTAGTCTCCTGTAGGCAACTCTATCTCTGTGACTTGCTGCTAGCTTTGCATGCGTGCAGTAGTGTGGTAATACGTGTCAACGTCACCACCAAAATTTAGCGTTCACGGGAATTCTGAATGGGCCAGTCGCTATGTCAGGGACCGGATGAATGTTGCAAATAGTTTCACTAAAGAAAAAACTCAATTCAAGGCCAATAACATAAGGGTTTCGAGAGGAACTGAACCACTGTTCTGCTCTGAGTTCATTTGCTGTCCATACCTGACTGGGCCACAGGACCGGTTGTGATGGATCTGTGCCGCTGTGGGCTGTTCCATTCTGGTGATGGGTGACCACCTTATAAGGAGCTGCCTTCACATTCAGATGCAGCCTCACATTAGGGTCAAGCACCTTGGAGCGTACCACGTGGATGTGTTTCGGGGGGGTTGCAGCACCAGCTGCTGAACCAGCACAAATGAGAAGCGCTTCAGATGGCTGCGGCCGAGCGGCACTCGCTGGTGCGTGTCCACATTCTTCAAGATAAGCTGTTGACGAAGCCTATGATTTACGTACCCGCAAGATCCGCTTTAATCCGAATCAGTCTGAAGGCCGATGTTATCTATAGCTGCCTTAAAACATCAAGGACACATTAATCCCCATTATGACTCCCATTCTGGAGAAGGTGGCACCGTGATTAAGGAACTGAGGAAGATTCCCATGCAGCGTTCTTGGTGTGATTGTAGGATTCGTGGTGGTTTTGGGCTTTTTTTTTTTTGGATGTTCTCAAACAATCCATGGATTCCAGTGAAAATCTTTTATGAGTTTAATCTCTGTTGCATCTTACAAACATGTACAGGGCGCTAAAAGGACTGGGAAATAAATGCTAAAGTCAAAAACCAGCATTACCCACCTTGCCGTCTGTTTTTCTTAAGCGTCTATCCATTTCAGGGTTGTTGCAAACCTGGATTTCATGCCAGGCAAGGAAATGGGCACCCTGGAAGGGATGCCAGCCTGTCTCAAGATACTCGCTCTATCGTTAACAACGTCATCATCATTATTAAAACCTAAGGATGCTCCTCGACCATGCGGTGGGCGTCCATCTTGCCATACTGCTTTTCTTTAGAGGTTTTTTCTTTCTCAGAGTGCAAGTCCCCGGCTTCCCAGGAAGGTTACCCTTATTAGCCCGGACTTCCCGAGCCAAATGGCAGATTTCACCGCCATCTGTGTGCCGTGATCCGGCAGGGGCACAGAGCCACGGCGGTCCTGTCGCACCAAACCAGGTTTTCGGTATTACATCCAATCATGCAGTGCATAGACCACGCCGGTAGCATGCGTGAGGTGCGTAAGCCATTCGAAACCTTTTAATCATCACACGGTCCGTCACTGGGACTCCGCTGGTATTTACAGACGCATGGCACCTCTCCCACAGAAGAGTCGCGATCATCTTTACGTGGGGCTGATTTGCGTGCGTTTTGTTCGGCCGTTAAAGGTTCCTCCTCTTCCAGCCTCCAGAAAAGCCCATAATCCTGTTGCAGGATCCATCACGCTGGCTGAACCTTAATCACACCCAATTAAACAGTTAAAGGCATGGCTATGCCCTTCATATTTCGGAAATTGGGTACTTGGGGCGATACCCTTGTTTTTCTAATCATGCTATTGACCATGAAACCCTGCTTTTGTCCCTTAAAACTTTTAAAGATGCAGCGGATGGTCGCTATTCTCCTTAAAAGCTAAGTAAGCAGACAGTATCTAAACCCTGGCTGCTTGTAGGCTCCCTCTATCTCTGCTCGACCTTCATCCTACCTTTTAAGAACATGATAAGGGCCTTTGACGTCTCCTTCATCCCAGCTGCGACCTTAGACCTGGTGAGAGTTTTTATGATATTTTTTTTAATGATTAAATCTCTGGCTGCAGTGCTTACAGGGAGGAGAGGGTGAAACACTGCAGTGTTTTGAGACTATGTTTTATTTATCAGGGCAGCGTGTGGCCCTGTGGGTTCGGACACTGTGCTTGTGATCAGAAGGTCGCTGGTTCACATCCCAAGTTGGCATAATGGTTTCACTGTTGGATTCTTCAGCAAGGCCCTTAACCCCAGTTGTTTGAGAGGCTGACTGACCTTGCTTTTTCAGTTGTGCCTGGCTTTGGATAAAAGCATCTGCTAAGTCAATGTAAAATGTTTTTCTTTATACCCCTACGCTTCTGAATTCTCGAATCTGATTGGTCAGAAAGGTGTTGATTAATTTTTTATAACCACACACTCAGTGCCGGCCAGACGAATCTCAGTAGTAAATCAGTGCGCAAGTAACGTTATTTACAATTCCAGACATAGAACACAATTTAAAAATGAACAGAAAATGTTTCATCATCAGCAAAAGAAAGTAGTTCTACAAATAAATGTTTTTGGTTCGAAAATAACGTCTTTAGCTACAAATGTGTAAGACAAATTTGTGGTAATTGTGGTGTAAGCAGGTTAATGCACTTCAAGCCATTTCTAAATGCACTCCGTGTCGGACAGAGCTTTGCCTCCGTAGCCGTTCCTTTAAAATGTTATGATGCGCTGCTTGTTGTATGTTGACCCTGATTTACTCTAAACTGTGAGGGGAGTTTGGGTCTAAAGGGAGCAGGTGACAACAGAGGTGCCCAACCACCAGTGTGGCGCTAAGCCAACCATGCTCCTCCTTTTCATCCACAGCCTGGACGAGGCCGGTCACCTGGTGCTGATTCCGTGGGACGAGCGGCGGCACCGGGAGCAGGACTGGTGTGAACAGCGGAAGTGCAGGTGATGCCGTGTGATGCGGAGGGTAACCTTCGCTGCCAGGGACGTGTTACAGACGCTATGGCCGGAGATTTTATCAGAAAGTGTCTCAGTTTAACAGGCGTTATCAGAGGCAACTCGTATCTCCCAAAAGCCACCTTTGCATACAGATGCCTTTTAAAACCCAAGTTAATTGAGGTGTTTCTCAATACCAAGAATGCAAAGATCATACTTGCTAACTTGCCTCCCAAGAACGAACTTGGGGCACAATGAATCATGGGATTGGTCTCGTTCGGCGAGGATGTAACCGATGGCATCCTTGATATTTGGGGCGGAGCAAGACCAACATTCGGGGATTTTTACCATCCTCTGTACTTGTGTTCTTAGTATTGGAACTGGTCTTCAGTAATGGAAGATGATGTAAAACGGGTATATGAGAGCACAAGTATGGTCAAGTGTGCGAATTGAGAAACACCCATTGACCCATTTCCCCCAGCCTTGTAGCCGTGCATGAGCACTGGCAGTGCAGTGCAGTGCAGTGCAGTGCAGTGCAGTGCAGTGCAGTGCCGGCCTACCTCGACCTTGAGGTTATGGCCTGAGCTGTCGTTCTTGCCTGGCTGGGGTTTGAAGCGTCTTTCCTTTTCTAGGCAGGTTAGACACGAGCGCGTCTCATTATTTCTGCATGAGTCTGTAATTAATCGGGCCGATTTGCACGAGAGCCGTTGGGGAGGAACTGGCTCCCTTCTGAGCGTGACCCGCAGTTGACCTTACGGGTATCAGTTTCCCACGGAAGCGGGAACGTTCTTTAATTCCTCCTCTAATCCGCCCACCACGTTGCTAAACGCCCACGCTACCTCAGCCCGTTACCAACCTCGCTTATACGTCCTCGCCGTGTCACGCCGCTGACTGGGCGCTGGGGTCTCAGAAAGCCCTGCCGTGTGTCTGGACCCAGGACGGCGGTGGACCCCAAGCCGCATGGTGGGGACGACTTCCTGTATGAGGAGCAGCCGGATCTCCTCTGCTTCCGCACAGCCACGCCTTCCATCACGCTTCTGACTGACTGGTACCTGAAGCGGGCCGAGGACATGGATGGCTACTCCCGACAGGTGGGTGCTGGGAGGGGGGGGGCTTGTGGGGTGGTGCGGTTGAACAAAATACCACAGCATTTTTGGTACAGCTCGGTGTACTAGTCCTTATTCTGGTTTATTCTAGTCTAATTCGAAATTAGCCGGTGGGGTGGGCTTCCCTTTCCTCGCTCAGCAAATTTCAAAATAGACCAGAATAATCCCGAATAGCGTTACTTTTAAAAATGCTGTCAAAATACTGTACGCCATAGTATAGTGCCTGGATAGCATATTAGTATGAAAAATTAGATACCTCCCAACCCTAGGAGCGGTGCGATAAGCTGTCATTGGTTTTGACTGCTCCTGCCTCTGGTGGGGGCCCTTAATAGGGATTACCCCCCCGAACCCAAAGCCATGGACGTGACTCTAAAACAGGCACAATTCTCCCCCAGCGGTGGCCGTAATGACCGTAATGTTTACCGGCTGTTTGTTTCTGGCACACGGCGGCAGCCCGATGGAGGGCAGGTTTTGGCGTATGGTCTGTGTGTTTGTTTCCACGGTGTGGGTTCTGTTTGGTTTCCTCACACGCATTTATGTCAGCTGTGCTCAGGAACTGTGGGCGGGGGAGGGAACAGGGTCCAGGCCCTCAGATTTGCTGTCCGAATGGTCTTGTTTTGCTGTTTCTTCAGGATGTCGTGCTGAGAGGCGGTTTCATATCAGTCCTCCAGAGGACTAATGATTCTTTGGTGTCTCAAATTTCAGGCGCCAGCATTTGTGTGAAGATGATAAATATCAGTCTTTGTCTCAAATGAATTTAAAGTCTGTGAATAAAGTTCTGCTGGTGAATAATTTCATTTTTTTGTGGCATACATTTTTTTTTCTCCACTTTTTTTATTTGAAGAGTAAATTAAATCTCTGGCTGTTTATGAAATCTTTGCACGGTGCTTATTTTTTGGGGCAGTAACTTTGCCAATGTTTGATTGACGTTTTGCAGTCCTAGGAAGGTGTGGGCATGAAACTGTGGAAGGTTATGAAAATGAGTGATTGTTCCTGTCATATCTGATTTAGCCTGGTTGCTGTTGATCTGGTAAACCTCACTGTAATCCAGTGACTTGGAGGGTCTCTGTTTTTGTCCTGGCAGACTTCTGTTCAAAGTAACAGTGCAGATAGACTATATGGACAAAAGTATTGGGACACCTGGCCATTTCACCTGCAGGAACTTATATGACATCCCGTTCTAAATCCATAGGCATCAAAATGGGGTTGGTTCCCATCAACTGCCACTCTTCTGGGAAAGCTTTTTCAGGGCTTGGGCTAGGTGCCTTAGTTCCAGTGACAACAAAACATTTTGGACTGTTCCCTGCTCCAAACGTTGTGTGAACTGTTTGGGGACTGGGACGTGACTGTGCCCTGTGCATAAATCGTCCATAAAGACATGGTTGGGTGAGTTTGGTGTGGAAGAACTTGACTGTCCTGCACGGGGCCCTGACCTCATCCCCATCAAGCACCTTTGGGATGAACAGAGATTGTGAGCCAGGCATTCATGTCCAACATCGGTGCCTGACCTTACAAATGCTCTTCTGGATGAATGGGCAAAAATTCCCGCAGACACATTCCAGAATCTTGTGGAAAGCCTTCCCAGAAGAGTGGCAGCTGTTATAGCTGCAAAGAGGAGACCAACTCCATACTGATGCCTAAGGCCAGGTGTCACAATTCTTTTATCCATATAGTGTAGATCAGATAGACAGACAAGCTCACAGACAGGCTCACAGACAGCTTCATACTCCAGACAATCTGAACGCTTAACTTTGGTTACTAATCCCGTTCACTGCATATAGCTGTATTACTGTCCATTGTGTTTATTGCCCCAGTTACACACTATTTGTTGTTACTGTGTTGTGTATTACCATTTGTACTTCCAGTTGCACTGTTTGTTGCTGTTGTTGTGAGACACACAAGCATTTCACTACCATATACACTGTTAAGTTTGAAATGATGTGATAAAAAAATGACTTGATTTGATTAAGAGGGCAGTTGGAAGCAGACAGCCCTGTCCAGAAGGTTGTGGGTTTGAAATATTCTAAGCCAACTCCTTAACATGCAATGTTCCGGATAAACACCCCAGGTTTTTTTTAATGGGAGGTGAATCCTAAGTTCCCCTGATAAAAGCATCAGATGTTTGTTGTGTGTGATGTTGTGCATTGCAAACATTCGCTGAGCAGCTTGATGCGAGTCGCCCGCGACCCCCCATACAGGTGGACTGTGCCTTGTTGCTGGTGCGTCTGGGGAGGGAGCGGAACATCCCGGGCCTGGAGGGGCTGTGTGACGACCTGGTAACCCTGGAGACGCTGGTGTACGAGGCATCCTGCGAGCCGAACCTCTCGCTCAAGGAGCTGCAGCAGCTGGCAGACATCGACAAGCTCAGGCTACTGCTGAAAGGCGTGAGTTGGGCATGGGGGGAGGGGCTGAGCAGCACAGGGGGCGTGGCTTGATGTGGCTGGGGCTGGATCTGGTGGAGGAGGGCGGGGGCTGTGGTTGGATGGGCCAGGCCAGGTCTGCATCTCTTGTGGGGCCTTGTCCAATGTCCCTTGTGGGGCTCTAGTTAATCAAATACTAATGGAAATATCAGTGGGTCATATATCAAGGAGTGGACAGTCTGATAGACCACGTTTCCATGTTTTTTAATTCTGCATGAGTCCTTTTTTTCGGTCTGTTTTTAAAAATGCATTCCTAGCTAGGCTTTGGCGGTATTTCGGTAATACGGGATGCCACAACATTTTGGGCATGCTGTGGTATTTCGAAATCTGAGTGGGTAATGATAAAATTCGCAGTTCAGTGACAAAGCTTTGCATTTGCAAATACTGTATACAATTCAAGAGGCTTATTTATCACATACACAGTTGTACAAATACAACATATACTACGGTATTTGCCTGGATGTTATGAAAAATCAGATATCACCCACTGCTCATAGTTTGGTTAAAAAATATTGCAGACAGGAAGTCTGGTTTGTATGGCATATCCATGCCTCACTGTTCACCCTTCACACAACTTTAGACACAACTTTGTTTTAGACACAACTTTATTCGTTATCCTGACATGTGGCATGGTGGCACTGCGCATGGACGGCTGGTGGCACCCAGCCTGGCATCAGCCAAAGCCCAGCAGATCCGTGACCTTGCCCTCTTTCTGCCTCTGCGTTGAGTTGTGTGTGAGGACGTCTCAGTGCCGTTTCTTCCTGGATGCCGTTTGCTTCACAAATGCATGCGGCACCCTGCCCCCATACTCACTTCTATCCCTTTAAAAGTTAGACGTGAAAAATATTAATCATTGATAAAAGTCAGCTTATTAATGCTGAATTATTCAGTGGGATCTCCAAATTGTTGTGGAACAGTTTTGGAAAAACATGAGCTTACTTGCGGTAGTTTGATAGTTCTGCCATGCTTTGTGGGTGAGAGTGACGGTGTCTGTCCAGCTCTCGTGGTTCAGCAGCATCTCGAAGTAAAGGGAGACCTCATTGTGGGATCCAGACCCTTCCCGTTAACATGTCAGCGAGCGGGCCGTTAATCCGGGCATGCACACTGGATCGTGTGTGCAAGCTCGCAGATCCCCAGTCTTCTCGAGGGCAAATACCAAAAGGCACAAGGGCGTGAAGTGGCCTGACGGCGCCCTCCAGAGGTTTGCTGTGTCGATCAGCGGGCTGTCTCCCATCGCCTGTGCCGAAAATGAAATGCTCCGCGGGGTTCTTCACAAGACCGAGCTCAGGGAGCAGGCCAATATTTCCTAGACAGTGTGAAAAATGACATTGCGGCCCCAATGGCTGGGGGGGGCGGTGGGGTGGGGAGGGGGGGTGCAGGCTTGTCCTCTAACTAGTTCTAGTTTCCAGGTTATGTCCTTGAATTTGCTGGAAATTAGGGAATTTCCTAGTCTGCTGTCAAATGGAAAGCAAAAGCAGGGAGGAATCTTCACGGTCATGTTTTTGACCCTGTAGCATTTTAGCAGACCTGGTCTTGGTAATTTACAGTTAAAGGCTTCTGATTCCATGGTTGGTGGTAACACTCATCCTCACTTAAAGGGCTGCAGATTGACGGCTTAAGGCAGCAGGTACCTCAAGGGTAAATGTGTGTTTGGAGCTGGTGTCCGGCGCAAATCTGAGACTTTTACAAGGTAGGTCTAGCGGAGTCTGACACGCTCACCGAGACACTGCAGCTCTGCGCTGGAGTATTTGGGTGTTTCAAGGAACTTATCCCCTTTTCAATTGAGTTATTTGTGTGTGTTTTTACTAGTAGTATATACTAGGAGTCTGCGAGGAACAATGACAGTGAAGATTAGTGCATTACTGCATTTTTAATTTTGTGTACAAAGTCCTGCAACATGCGCACTCCGGGCATGAGAATGACTGCGTTCCTAATTAGCTCAGCCCAATCAAAGGGGTAATTAGGGTCATCTGTTCGCTTTTGATAAGCAATCAGTTTCTCGCAGTCCATAAACAGTAATTTTGATTTTGTTTGAGGCCAGTGAACATACCAGGGACTGGCCTTATCCAGGAAATGTTCAACAAACATTATTTCAATTACACCTTTTTTTAATGCCAGGTTTGTGCTGTGCACCAGACACACATTAGGCAAGAGGCTTGTATGAAATTCTGACAAATATGAAGTGGTCCCTCTGCCTTGAGGTCTGCTGGTGTCCAATTAGTTTAGTGAATCTACCACTGACTGATTTCGGGCCTGGAATATGGTTTTAAATTTTAAAGTGAAACCCTGCACTCCTGTTGCTGTGTGGTTTCTTGTATCTTTCCTGCCTTGTATCTTGTATCTTGCCTGTATTTTTGTAATGCATGTTCACAATAAGATGTTTCGTGTCATTGTGTAAATAGCCCTAGGTGTTGAGCTGTCACGTGACATTTGGCTCTTTTGGTAACAGTTGTTGGCATTATGGCCTGTAAAATATCGAATGAAATACTCTGAGTATTTTACTTATTTTTTTTAATTAGGCGACCGTAAATAGCAAGGTCGTGCTTTCTGTGAATGCCGTGTGTGCTTAGGAATTGCTGCAATTTATATCCACATACATTCACTGAGCACTTTACACCTGAACACCTGTACACCTGATTATTGTTGCAATTAGAGCTGCTCAATATCACATTACAATAAAATCACAATTATATGACACATGCCAGTAATCACCAAGGCTTTAAGTTTAGATGATGGGCCTAAACATTTGTCAGACACTGGCTTTTTGGTACTACATGGACATTCACTTACAGCCACAGTTTGGTAAGTAGATCAGTAGTACGCCGATCGTATTGTGCAGCCCTAGTGACAATTTTCTAATGAGCCAATCATGTGGCAGCAGCACAGTGCATGAAGTCATGCAGACACAGGTCAGGAGCTGCTGTTCACATCAAGCACCAGAATGGGGAAAAGCTGTAATCGCAGTGATTTTGACCATATCATGATTGTTGGTGCCAGACGGGCTGGATTGAGTATTTCTGTAATTGCTGATCTCGTGGGATTTTCACATACAACAGCAAAAAAAACATCCTGTGAGTGTCAGTTCTGCGGATGGAAAGGTCTAAGGAGAATGGCCAGACTGGTTCAAGCTGACAAAGGCTTTGGTAACTCTGATAACTACTCTGTACAACTGTGGTGAGCGGAAAGGCATCTCCAGATGCACAACACGTTGAGCCTTGAGGCAGACGGCTTCAGCAGCAGAAGACCTTGTTGGGTGCCACTCCTGTAAGCCAGAGACTGAAAGCTGAGGCTGCAGTGAGCACAGGCTCAGCAAACCTGGACAGCTGCAGACTATAAAAACTTAAGGTTGCTCTGATGAATCTCGATTTCTGCTGTGGAGTGCACATGGTTGGGTCAGAATCGAGGGATTGACGCTGTTTTGAAAGGGAGGGAGGCCAAACCCAGTAATACTAGTGTTCCTAATAGAGTACTCGGTGAGTGTATATGGCAAAGAATATATAGCAGATCTTATGTCACTTTGCAGTAGAATTGTTTTTTTGAGGACCTTCTGTGTGACCTTCGTGTGTGAATTACCTTCACTCTGGTTTGGATGGGTGCAGGAAGCTGAATTTACCTGCATCCCAGAAGGGGAAACCTGGTATTCTCAGCACCTCGTTTCAGAGAGGTCAGTCTGAGGGAGAAGCCACAACTGAGGTGCTACTGCAGTGGGCATAAAGGTCGTTGCTGCCTTCTTCAGCCGCTCATGGTGAGCTGGCGGCATCCGTAACACCCAAGCAATGCGATTCCGAGGGCCCCTTAAGCGAGGACCTCGTCTGGAAGCTCCCCGGGGCTGCTCATCTGCGATTGGTGTCGAGTGGTACAGGCGTGAGGCTTGTCCTAGAATATTTGTGATGGAGGAATTTGTTACTGTTATGTTCCCTTCTTGTAGAGAGAGAATGATGAGAAAGACACTGTACGTCCTCACGAAACCATATACAATTAATCCTACAATAAAGTTAATAACTAAACTACCCTTGTTTGCTGTTTTGTTTTTGTTTACTCTTCACCCATAACCCTCCTGTTTTGTTTTTGGTTTTTGTTTACTCTTTGCCTGTACCCCCTGTTTTTTGTTTTTGTTTTGATTTTTGTTTACTATTTGCCCATACCCCTGTTTTATTTTGTTCATTCTGTGTCCATACCCCGCAGTCCTCCGAGGAGCGGTATGTGAAGAATGTGTACCAGTGGGTGGTCCCCTTCCTGCACCGCTGCGAGGGCCGAGCCCCTGGCTCTGCTGATGGCCTCCTGAGGGAGTACCTGGTCAGCCTGTCCAAGGAGGACCTCTCCCTCCCTCTCAAGATATTCCAGCACTCCAAGCCTGACGTGAGTCATCATCTCTCCTGTCTAAATGTGCAGCAAATTACCGCCATAATGACTTTCTGCTCCTTTATTTAATGGCATTTTATTTGTTTATTTATTTATTTGTTGTCAAAGCCAAACGGAGCCGCACTGTTTATTCCGCGAGCCGCGCGAAAAGCCATCGTTGGTGTCCGGTGCTCATTAGTGGCACAGCACATTTCGGTCATGGCTCCTGCCGCAATTTCGTGTCGGAGCCAATTTACGGCCCCGGGGATGCTGACAGGAGCCGGCCCTGGACCCATTACCGGCTCGATAGCCCCTCCGCCGGGCCGGTGAGCCGCGCTGTTTTATGTGTTAGAGAAAGCAATATACATCTGAAATTTAGGGCCAGCGCGGCTTGGTGCGGCGTGGCCGCTGCGGCCCGTGAGGATTCATTCCGGGCCGTGAAAGACATTGGGGGCCGAATTTATACTCGCGTGCATGTGGGAGGCAGGAGTGCAAAAAGCCGGCGAATTTACAGCCACCGCCTGCCCCCTCTGTGTGCCGCAGTCCTGTGGTCCCACGGAGTTGATTAGAAAACAAGGCCGGACTTGATGGACGGCCGCACCTCTCCTTCCATTGGGGGGGGAGAGGTAGGGTGCTGATCCGCCCCCCTGGAACGCGGCTCCATTTTAATTATGAGCCGAGCTCCGGCCCCGGTGCCTCTATAACGTAATTAGGTCGCGGCGCGGCTATAGAGGGGATACAGTGCTGTTGGTTGCGTTTGCCAGCGAGTTTTATCTCCAAGAAGCAGGTGAGCCAGGGGGGCGAAGGTGCCGGTCCCCACCGAGGCCCCGGTTTGCATTTTTAATAAATGTCTCAATGCTGTCCATGACATGTGACTCAGTGCAACAATGTTAATGGACCTCCGTAGCCAGCAGCCGTGGCAGGCTGCCAGCAGGGGATGGGAAAAATGACATTTCAGAGTCTTACCTACTAGTCAGTCAGCATCTCTTCAATATGTGGACCAAATAAATGTAAAAATGGATACACCCAAGTGCGACGTAATGAAAATGAGGCTGTGTGTAAACGCACAGAATACAGAGGCTATATCGATAAAAGTATTGGGACACACCTCTTAATCATTGAATTCAGGTGTTTCATTCAGGTGTATAAAGTCATGCAGTTAACCGTGCAGTCAGGTTTCAAAACATTTGTGAAAGAATGGGTCATTCTGAAGAGTTCAGTGGATTCAAGACACAAGTCAGTTTGAGAAATTTCTTCTATGTTAGATATTCCATAGTCAACTGTAGGTGGTATTATTTCAAAATGGAGGCATTTAGGAACAGAAACTCAGCCACGAAGTGGGAGTCACGAAAAAGCAGCCGCATGCAAGCCTCACATCACCCAGCGCGATCCAAGCATTGGATGGAGTGGTGCAAAGCACCGGAACTCTGGAGCAGTGGAAACGCGTTCTGTGGAGTGACGAATCACGCTTCTCTGTCTGGCAGTCTGATGGTCGAGTCTGGCGGATGCCAGGAGAACGTTACCTGCCTGACTGCATTATGCCAACTGTAAAGTTTGATGGAGGAGGAATAATGGTATGGGTTAACAGGGTTGCTTTTCAGGGGTTGAGCTAGCCCCCTTAGTTCCAGTGAAGGGAACTCCTAATGCTTCTGCATACCAAGACATTTTGGACAATTCTACGCTTCCAGCTTTGTGGAAACAGTTTGGGGAAGGACCTTTTCTGTTCCAGCATGACTGTGCCCCAGTGCACAAAGCAAGATCCATAAAGACACGGTTGGGTGAGTTTGGTGTAGAAGAACACAAATGCTTTTCTGGATGAATGGGCAAAAATGCCCACAGATACACTGCAGAATCTTGTAGACAGCCTTCCCAGAAGAGTGGCAGCTGTTATAGCTGCAAAGGGGGGAGCAACTCAATTTTGATGCCTATGGATTTAGAGTTGAAGGTCATAAAAGTTCCTGCAGGTGTCATGGCCAGGTGTCCCGATACTTATGTCCTTGAAGTATATGTACTTCAGTTATGTAACAAGAATCTGGCAGCCAGAGCTAGTCGGGGATCAGCAACTGTAGGTCAGGTGACATGGTCACTGTAGGCAGTGAAATACGGGCGCAGCAGAGTGCAGTAGGGGTTCAGGCCCTCACTCTGCATTCATCTGTAGTGCTGGATGGGCATGATGTACCATCTGTGGTCCTGTGAACTTCCTGAAGGAGAGCATCGGTGTACGTGTGTTATTTTTAACATTATGCAGCGCTCCCTTGTTTCAGTGCCAGCAGAAGATCGTCGGAGATCACGACCAGCTGATGTCCGTTGCCCTGGAGTGCATCTACAGCTGCGAGCGAGATGATCAGCTCTCCCTGTGTTACGACGTGCTGGAGTGTCTACCACAGCGAGGCTATGGGTCAGTGCATGGTGGACTAGCAGAGACTGTTAGACCAGAGAAACAATGGCTTGGTTAACCGGGCTGTCCAGCTGTGTCGGCAGTCACTGGAAGCACCCTAACGTTCGACTTGTTGTTCTTCAAACGAACACATTACCCTTACGAGTTGGAAAGACATAAAACCAGCAATAGATATAAAATTAATGAATAAGCTTTTATGATGCTTGGTAAACTAATGCACCACCTGTATTTATATGTTTTTTTGTTTTACCTCACCGAGCAGAAGAGCAAATTTCTCTGGCTCTTTGGAGATCACCCCCCCCCCCCGGCTGATGCTCAACGTAAATGCCGGGGGGCGGCTTCATTCCCACCAGTGAAGGTCGCCCGAGCTTTGACCCCATTTCACGTATATGACTTTTAATGAATTCTGAAAGCCTGTTCAAAGGGGTGCCATTGAAAGACCATCGCGCCCATTTTCTCTAAATTGTTGTTTAGGGCCGTTTAAAGATGGATTTCCAGCCTTTCGGCAAGTTCAGGGGTGATGCTGTAACTACTGTCTGGCTCATACTGTTCATTTTCTTTGTTTTTTTTTTCTCTCCCCAGGTAGATTGGTTTAAAATAGCAGGACAGGCTTTCAGCTGGAGCGTAGGGGATTAGAGGGGCAGATTATGGTTTAGGGATGGGTTAGGCTCAGCACTGACTGCACTAAGTTAAAGTCAAGCTTTATCTGTGACTTTAAAGGCTTTGAGCAATGTGAAGCATAACACGTTTCGCAGGCTTAAGCGTGTAGAGGGAATTGGGCACTGAGGATGTTTGTATTTTCGGCCTTCCTGGTCCCCCTTGCGTCGGAGGGCTGCTGTTTCCCTGCAGTAAACAAGTGCAGAGTGTTGATGCGTCAGCTAGTGAGGAGTTTATGGGGAGGATGGGTGGGGTTCCATATGGAGCGTTCCAGAAAGAAGTCGACTTGTCTGTCTCTCTCGCAGGTCAGAAACGAAGGTCACCAGGGCCCTCCACGACCAGGTGGACAAGCTGGAGAAACACCTAAGGTACGGCTTTCGTCAGGATGGGCGTGAAGGGTCAGGTCAGTGGAGCGACTTCATAGACGAGGAAAGCAAAGCAGAGATTTAACCCAGAGAGACGCAGCAGAGGTAGCCACTGCCGTGTTTGGTCAACTTACGATTGCTTTTTAAGCACCAGGGTGACAGGCAATCAGCATCCAAGCTGGCTACCGTGTCTCTGCCTGAGCTGGTCCCACTCTCGTTTTGCCAGAAATGTTCTGGACGGTGCCCCAGATGTGCCCTTTGAGAAAACACAGAGGCTAATTGGAACAGTGAGGAAAATGTTATTTAGTGTGCCAGTGGAAGATTTTTAAAGCTCGATGAAGTCGTCAGGAAGATATGTGTGTTATGGAGGACGCCTGGGTGTACTGCATATTACTCTGCTCCGCTGAAGTTATTCAAGAGTTTTTAGTGTGTCAGCCATCACTCCCGCTGCTCTCAAAGTCAGGAGCGTTCACTCGAGTGTGACGCATGCAGTCCTGTTGATGTCCTTTTGCTCGCGGGGTGTCCTTGGGCCAGAGCGAGCTTTCACAGTGCTCTGTGTGGAGTACATCCTTCATGGCAGGTAGGCTTGGTCAACTGGAAGCACGCCAGTAGAGGACAGGCACCATCTACTGGTGGGAGTGTGGCACTGCGGGGTGCCAGGTTGTTGCATGTCAGGGCTGACATAGTCAATAATTTGTTATTGGCAAATGGAGTTTCTGCTGGTAGCTTTAGCATTAACATTATAGCGTAATACTTCCTTGTTGTTGTTTTCTTGCATCTCCTGCAAGAAAAGGCAGAGGTGACTGCCTTTTCATCATGAAGTGTGTTGTACCATATATTTGTGCTGCGCCTGAATCCGATCCTTCTGGTCGAGTACCAGCGGTGTCATGCGGAGTCGCCGGTCAAGCAATATCAAGTCATGCAGTGCCCTTGCGAATCCTGTGTGGTCTGTGGGAGGTAAAAAGCCTTCGGCGCGACTGAACGAGCACTTGAAGACATCGGCCTCTGTTTTTACCCATTTACAGTTGCTTTAGAAAGTGGAAATGTTTTCAAACAAGTATACAATGTTTCACGGCAATATTTTTGTCACATTCGCGTGATCACGAGTCCCTGCGGTTGTATGATATTTCGCAGGTCAATCTGACAGTTAGAGCACTCTGAAACATTAACCAAGATGGCTTTCTGTGGCTATTTGCTGTCCCCCACGGACGTGGATTAGGGGCTCTCTAGGGGTAATTAGATCTTGACGAATATGGCTCATCTCTCTAGACCTTTTGTTGAGTTACTCCGCAGGTCAGATTGCACGTCATGCTTTGACAGCGCCGTCCAAGAAGGTGACCTTCCCAACCCCTGTCAAGCCACGAGCGATTCACACCCCCCACCCTCTTCCCGGGTATTGTTAGGGCAATCGGTAGGTGCTGTTATGACAGCTGAGGAATATGCTGCCAGCAAGGGAATGGGTAAGCGGAGCACTGCAGTAATGGTGGCTCGGATCAGCGGGTATCAAAGGCTCACAGCTGCCACTAGTATTCTAGAACTTTCTACTGGACATTTTGTTCATAGAAATGTGTAGGTGTAGCACTGGAGTAACGGGCCTGGTATCGACGGACATCAAAGGCTCGCCGCTACCTCCTGTACACCTGAGCTCTTTGTTCGTTTTGTTGCACGGTACAAACGAAAGGTGATTTGAATTGCACTGGAAGGGAAGCGGAATGGCGGATAATCCAAGGTATGTCATACCTTCTTTCCTCAAAAGAAATCGTCGAGTGTTTTGGACTGCCTCAAACAAGGGATTTTCTGGCAGTAAACTTGTGCTCGTGTGGCCCAGCGCTGTCATCACTAGTAATGAAGAGGAGATGAGAGCAAAGCAGGTCTGGATGGGATTAATTCCAGAAGAATCCCCACGGTGATCTAGGGCGAAGTTGCTACTTAAGTGGCTCTTAATTTAGCTAATTGCATTTGGGTGTGATGATCAAATATTTGACTTACTGTTTGCCAAGGATGTGATCGAGGGCAGCTAGCTGACTTCTGAGGCTGCATTTTTAAAGGGGAACCCCACCCGGGACCAGAATGGACTCAGTATTCAGACCATTTCACACACATCCAAAGGAATTATAGCCTCATTAGAATAAAAATGACCCATTCAACCAATGGCCTTTTCGCATGTGTATTGAAAATCTGTGGAGAGTTTTATTCACTCACTCTGCACACTGTGATCTCATCACCTGCTTCCAGTGTGTTGCTGGCTGGTTCTGCCAGCGGAATTTTGAATGAGGCGGTTTTGTTTTGTTCGTCTCCTACCCCTCCCACCTCGGCTTCAATACTTGGTACTCTCGAAAGGAATAGGCTGGCCAGATGCTCACTGGGAATTATATGAAATTACTTACATTGCAGGATGGGACATTTTGGAGGAAAAGCATCTATAGGATTACAGTCGATGTAAACTTTACTACTACAACAACCACGATAATAAGATTCATTGTTCCTGAAGTGTTATGTACAGCAAAAATTTTGAACTATCTCTGGGTGTAGATTTTTGGTGATTTTTATTTATTTATATTGAAAATTTTTTTTGGTGTAAAGTAAAAAAAAAAAAAGGAAGAAGTAGCGAAATGGAGCGTTATTTTTATAGTCCGTTTCCGTTTTGCTGTTTCTCCTGTCCTGGCAGTGTGGTGGAGGTGCTGGAGAAGCACGGCCTGCAGAAGCCCGTCTCCTTCGTGAAGAACAGCGAGAGCAGCCGAGAAGAGGCCCACCAGCTGATGGTGAAACTCACCCGACATGTGGGACGCAAGTGAGCCCCCCCCCAGATATCACAGACCCATAAAAAGCCAAGGCAATTGCTTGCAGTGCAACTTTTTTTTAAAGTAATTTTTCATCCTGGGACTTTGGTTTCGAAAAGCAGGACCTGTAAGCAGGCCTGTGAAACATGGTCCTGCTGGGCCATTAAGGGGGGGGCTGGAGCCAGCATTTCATCTTTCTGCTCCATTCCCCAGGAGTCCACCGGTAAGCGAGAACCTGTGGAAGGGGCTGCTTCAAGATCTGCTGGACATGCAGAAAAGTGTTTACACCTGTCTGGACGCTGACACCTGCCTCCAGGTGGGCCACCGTTGTCCCAAAACCCCTCCCTGCTTTTGCTTTTGCATATCTAGCTAACACCCCCCCCCCCAGATTACCTTCCCATATTCACTTGCATCGTCACTAGCACAGCGAGTCATGTTGATTTTGCTGTCTTTTGATGATCATGACTTGGGTCTCTCTCCTTTTCCTCTGCTGTCGATGATACAAAGAGCTCATATTTGTAGCCTGAAACCCATTATAAATCACACCTGGATACAATACAGAGGGAAAAACGTGGAAGCTGTGATGCCATTTTTGCTGCTGTGGTTTTAAACCCCACATAATCAGATCTGCTTCAATCGATATCCATCCAGGGGCCCAGAATCTAACATCCTGATCAGTTACACAGTTAAAGTAACTCCTCCCTGCTGCCAGACCGCTTGAGTCAGCTGACATCTTAAATGCATCACATAGAATTTTACTCCCCGACAGCAGTGTTAAAGAAATAACATTGTTAGACGAGGCCGTGTGACTTGCGAAGGAGTGTCCCCACACGCTCTGCCGGGATCCCCAAAAGGGCTACGGTCAACTCTGTCGGGGTACTCGTGCTCTTCTTGTGTCCATGCCGGTGTCTGCAGCTGTTCTTCGCAATTAATGGCCTTCCATGGAGCTTATAGCCCTTTTGATTGATGGCTCGTTGTTAGCGATGGGCACCTGAACACCTGAAGGGCCCAGATTCAATCCTGCAGTCGTGTCATTTTAGGAGCCGCGGTTAACGAGGCTGTTTTCTCCATGATGGATTTTAAAAGAATTTGTTAGCTCACAATTATCATCCCCCTCGGAAATATCCACGAGGTGTTTGTGTGCACGTGTGTGTGTGTGTGTGTGTGTCTGTGTGTGTGTGGCTTCCATTTAACCTGCATTGTCCTACAAGAGCCTAGCTTACTGATGTAAAATGCATAAACAGCATTATGTGTGAGCTAACAAGGGCCAATGGAGATGTTACATGAAGAAACACATTGGTGCGTTAAAGGGAATTAGGAGACCTGATGCAGTCACAAACAGAGTGCCTGTCAGCAGCAAGCCCCACGCTGTGAACCGCGTGTCAGGTGTTGGGCAGCCCTGGGCTCCTCTAAATTAGACTTAGCATGTTTTTTTTATCCGGTGGTGGGAGGATAATCATCACGCTCGGATGGTTTGATGATGCCAGCCAGCGCCCATGTGTTACTGTCCTGGCTTGTCCCTCTCTTTCCCCTGTCCTCCTCCTCTTTAATTGATCTCTCCCTCCCTCGTCCCCTTCTGTCTCCCCCCCTGGGTTGGCTCCCTGTTTCTTCTCGCCTGCACTGCTGCCTCCTCCCCAATCCCGCTAATTTCCTCCTTTCCCCCGCTCACTATTCTTCCCTGTCCCTCCTGGGCCTCCCGCAGGTCTTCACGGAGAGCCTGCTGTGCTCCAGTCGGCTGGAGGGCATCCGATTGGCCGGCCACCTCCTGCAGCGCAGCGCCTCCTTGTCAGAACCCGCCGCCGGTCCTGCAGCTTCCAAGGGTCCACTCAACCCCTCCAGGGTGTCCTACCAGAAAAGCATGGAATTGGTCCTGGCAGCAGCCCACGAGTACTTCAACTCCTCTACCGCCCTTACCGACAGCTGCATGACCCTGGCACGGTAATGACCTCACAGGGACCCCTTCCCACCTCCCAGGGGGTGCTGTGCTTTTAGTCAGCATGCCACTTTTGCTGTTGTGAAAATGTTTGCAAAAAATAAGACACCAGGTGTTTCACAATACCAAAAACACAAAGATCATACTTGTGGTCTTAGCAAGACCAGTCCTGCTAACTTGCCTCCCAAGAATTGGAGAGCAGTGATTCATGGGATAGGTCTCATTTAGCAAGGATGCAACTGATGCATCCTTGATATTTGGGGTGGGGAACGACATCTGGGGATTTTTACCGTCCTTTGTACTTCTGTTCCTGAGTATTGGAACTGGTCTTTGGCAATGGGAGATGATGTAAAACGGGTTCACAAGAACACAAGAACAGTCAAGTGTGCATGTTGAGAAACACCCACCATGCCGCTTACCAGACGCCACATCCCTATGTGTTTAACGAAACTTCGAGGTGCAAACTCAAATGCTAACAGGATCCAGCAGTCCTGTAATGTCCTATTCTGCAACAGTTCGCTGACCTTGAAAAGTCCTAAAAAGAACAAAATAATGTTGTAATTGGCTATTTCCTGGGTAATGTTGGTTAGCTTCATTGAACAAAGATGTAAACTAGCTAAATGAGCTAATTAGAAATTTAGCTGGCTACCTACAACACACATGCCAGCAGGTAAAATGCTAATTGACAACACTGTTTCAAGCAAAACATGATGGGTTTGTTTATTGAGCCATGCAAGTGCAATTTCCGATGAGGATTAAGTTTTTAAATTTCGTGTATAATGACATTTATTATAGGCTGACTGAGATTTTAAGATTTTTGGCTTCTTTCTCCAGTTATGGCGCAATTATGTGTAAAGAAAACTGCTGCAAACATAGTATTTTAAAAATATGTTTTTTTTTTGTTTTTTTTTTGGGGGGAGGGGGGGGGATTCCACTTTAAGTAGTGCTGTCTTTCGTAGATAATGTAGTTCTAAAGGACATGTAACAGTGACAGTTTGTGTCCCCACTATTACTGTGGGCTTCTCATAACACCAATAAGTGTATCTTCATAAAAAGTTACGTGACCAGTGTTTGTAAACAGTTCAGTTGGCCTGTTAGCTTTCAACTGGCTTGGTTTCATTCACGTTGTTATATGCATCAGCTGCCAGTTTAGCCTTGACAGTGAATTTCCACCAATCATCCGGTGTCATTCCATTCCTTTTTTTCCCCAAAGCTTGCTGATTGGTGAAATATGTTCACTTGCATCTGGATCTCTGCTCTATGAGAACACTTTGGTGCTTTTTTTGAATTCCTGCCTTCGCCAGAATAACTCATGAGACAGAAGCAGCGTTTACCCAGTTAATCTCTTGATATGTGGGGAAAGGCTCTGGAAACTAATTATGTTGTCTTTAATTTCGGAAAGCTAATTGAATTTTTATCTCCGACGTGGTTATCAAGAGTTACCGCGGGTCGTTTTACATGCGTCCTCTTTTGTGTGTCCCGCAGAAGTACTACGGGGGGGGGGACTGTGAGAGGGATGTCAGCAAATCTCCTTCTTCTCCAGTAACATCTGATCGATCAATTTTTCATAGAGCAAAAGCTTCATTTGCTCTCCCTACCCATCATCGAGGCCTGATATTGGTAGTGTGCTGTATTTCTCTACAGTGTTAAAATGTACTTTAAAGATGTTAGTCTGCTTCCGTCTTTTGGAATTTCCAAGTACTACTCCACAGACTTTTTTGACCATTTTAATCCAGCACGTACCAGCTAGCAGCATAGATTCCTGGAGGTTGTTCCCCTGCAAATCGTTCCGCTTTCATGCTGATCTTTCCCTTGTGCCCAGGATGGACTGCGGGTTCAGCTTGTGCCTGTGCAGGATAAGGCCGTCAGGGCTGCTCTGACTGTGACCTTGTGTTCAGAACAGCAGGCTTGGACCATGGTTTTAACTCGCATTTACATTTATTTAGCAAAGTAGAAGTGAGGCAGTACTTTCCAAGCCTACAGCTGTCAAGGAGTCAACTAGGCATAAGTGCAGCTAGGCTGAGCGTCCAATGAATGCCCAGGTACAAGTGCAGCTAGGCTGAGGGTCCAATGAATGCCCAGGTACAGTACAAGTGCAGCTAGGCTGAGGGTCTAATGAATGCCCAGGTACAAGTGTAAGCAGGATTGGAGCAAGAGTTACACAATGCCTTTCAAACCTAACAAGACGACTATTGAAATCAAATAGACAAAGTACAACAGAGCATCTAGGGGAACATCGGAGACAAGCAAAGGACAATGGAGGGATGTAGACTAGTGGGGGTTTTCCTGGAGGCTTTTCATTAAGTTTGAGAGGGAAACTAATGGCCAGATGTGGTACTGCAGCTGATTCTGTCATTGGGGATCCACACATGAGAAGTGTCTGTGTTGAATCTTCTCACATGGTGTCGGGATCTCCAAGCAGCGTTCGTTTGCTGAGCGAAGAGACTGAGATGGGCTCTAGTTCTCCAGCAGCATCTTGATGGAAATAGGTACCTGGCCTTTAATGGATATGGAAGCCAAGCACCAAGCACTTGAACTTGATGCGAGCTCCAAGAGGGAGCCAGTGATGAGATTGAAGGAGGTGCATTACATGGGTGCATTTTGCTGATTGATTCCACACGTCCTGCTGCATTTCCTGTCATCTGTAGTAGGTTGACAGCACAAGCTGATAATCCTGTATGTGAAGAGTTGTAGTAACGTAGTCATGTGAAGTTATGAGACTAGAAGCTGGGTTGCTTACTCAGACAAATAAAGGCTAATCTTAATGATGATATACAGGGTAAATCTGTAAGATCTGCATGGTCAGCAAAGGATAGCTGGTCATTTATCATCACCCCTAGGTTTCTGGTGGAGACAGTTTAGATCAGGGGTCTCCAACTCCGGTCCTGGAGAGCTACTATCCAGTAGGTTTTCTGTCCCACTTGGCTTCCGATGAGCCACACCTGCTCCTGCTTTTTACCTGAGAACAGGTGTGGCTCATCAGAAGCCGGGTATGATAGAAAACCTACTGGACGGTAGCTCTCCAGGACCGGAGTTGGAGACCCCTGGTTTAGATGATTCAGGCTGTACAATGATGTCATGGTGGATGGTAGACAGGAGAGGATCTAGGACTTGAAAAAGCCAGTGACTTGATTGAGGACAGCACTTTCAAGTGTTTGAGACAGTGTTTCCCAATCCCGTCCTCGTGGACCCACAGACTATCCAGGTTTTTGCTCCTACCGGGAGCTGGGATGGAGCAAAAATATGTATTGTCTCACTGGGAGCTCGGAGGGAGCAAAAACAGATCGACTGTGGGTCTCCGAGGACCAGATTGGGAAACACTGGTTTAAGACATTAATGAGTGGAGATTGACCTCTTGATGGTTTTCAGTTTGTTGTTGGTCAAGAGTGGACTTTTATTTATTTATTTATTTATTTATTTATTTTTACCAGCGGGGTTACATGTGCTTGCTTAAATGTAGTCGGGAGTGACTGAGCTTTGAAGGAGGTTGTGTGAGTGGCGGGTGCAGAAAACTGGCTGCTGCTAGCTGTCACCTCATGGAAAAGTGTAGCAAAGGCATCAGCCATCAGATTGGTGGGTTGGGGGGAGTTGGAGGGTGGAGCTGGATGTGAGCAGGTGCTTTAGAAAGTAGAGAGATGATAGAAGGGATTGGTACTCAGCCAGAACCATGGGACATCTTATCATCTGCCATTTCCTCTCGGCTATCCGTCGCTTTGTCGCCTAGGTCATACCGGAGAGCCTGGGGTGAGAGTGTTGCGAGCTTGCTGGTCTGGAGGACAGGGTGGCCCATGTACGAGTGTTCTCAGTGTGGATCCCGGTCTCTGTCAGAGCCCTGACATGAAGTGCAGTCGGAACCAGACACGAGTTCCAATGTGTGCTGAAGAGTGCTCGACCATCCAGCTACTACTCGCTGAGAAGGAGAGAACAAAAAGCTTGAGGTTCTGTAAGAGGAGCGGCAGGTAGAGTGTGAGCTACGTCGGGAAAATAACATGATGAAGAGCCCAGCACCTCTCTGGACTCACTGTGCCTCTAGGGTCACGTGCCTTAGCTCGCTGCTTCAGTGATTGCATCTCTGCATGGTACTGAACGTGTACAGAAAGAGCAGAAACATTAGGGGCCATTTCAAGCGGATCTCGCTGATCCGGCAAACAACCAGTATATACAGCCTTGATGTTAACTCAGTATGTTGTGAGTAAAAAACAGGACACAAGAGGTCCCCAGCTTACACGGGGGCTAAAATGCAAACAGTTTGAGCTTTGGGTCTAATGCTTCAAAATACAGTTGACTGCACCCAGTATAGGTGCTGAAGTGATGGTGTCCATTTTACCGATACATATGATTGAAACTTTTACCAAAGAATTTCAGCATAAGCTCGTTCTTCAAAGTTAAAACAGCAATGTCCCTTCTGGGGCTTTCATTCTTTATTTCTTTATTGTTTGGTACTTAATACAGCGTTTTCCTGGATGCGGGGATGGTGGCCATTCAGTAAATTACAGGTTACGGCGGGTAGTTAAATGTTCGTGTCTTAGGAGATCTGGAATTTTCTGATCTCTGGAATTTCATATATTTCGGTGTGTTTTTGTTCGTCATTCACTTCACTGTAACTCCCGAGTTTGACAGCCTCGGAGGTGCGTTTCCCGTGGGGCGAAGTTGCTCAGATGATGTCGTTAGTTATCGCCTTTTACTTCTCATTTGCATAAATTTTGAAGCAATTTCCAGGAGGGAAGCGGTACACTCTAAATAATTCACGTCACTGTGACACCCCCTTTCCGTCTTT